CCGGTGTCTCTAGCTTCACATGTCTGAGAACAGAATCACCAATTACCAGAGTTTGACCCCCGGCGGGTGGGTCGCAGAGTGGGGAAAAATGGTTAGACACATGTTGGTGGTGTACCTGGGGCTTCTGTTTAGGACTATGCTTCCTCCTCACCGTCATCCAGCCGCCCTCTTTCCCCAGCTGCTTGGGGTCTGCCGGGAAATAGCTAGCGGGGCCTACGCTATCTTCGGCTGCACCAGCTACAGGGGCCTGGCTAGCTACGGGTGAATGAAGGGTGCGAATCAGAGTCTCCAATTCAGTAATCCTGGCCTCCAGAGCTGCAAATATGCTACATTTGTTACAGATATCATTACTGCTAAAGGAGGCCGAGGAGTAACTAAACATCTGACACAATGAGCAGGAAAGTGCAGGAGGGACAGGTGAAGTAGCCATGGTGCTAACGAGTCGGCTACGAGCTAAGCTAAGCTAGCGAAACACCAAAGACACAGTGAGCTGGTAGGCGTACACCCGCTCTGACTGCTATGCTTATAAAAACACTGACAGTGTGAGAGGTCACAGTTATCCTGATAGCAAGAACAATTCTGCAACACTATGATCCATGACCAGTGAGACCAATGCTCACTGGTCAGTGTTGAAACTGACCTCCCAGCCCATTGTTCCTTCAGTGCTGCTAGTTTCAGTCATCATGCAAATGTCCCGTTTATAAGGTTGGAAACCTGCAGTCAGCTGAGACTGAAGATGAAACGTTTCTCAAACATCCAGATGAACAGAATCAGAGACAAGTTTTATAAATCACTAACTTTGGTCCACCAGTGTAAACGAGGGGGGAAAATAGACTTTAAAAAAAAATATTTCAGCACCCCTACTGTAGTGTCTGTAACACTATTAAACTGCAGCTTTGTGTATTATATTTCTCTAGCTTTATTTTTATAGAAATGCAGAGTTTTGTTGGCCGATTCTGTTTTCCAACGTTTTTGTTAGTGTGACCAACCAGTTTGTGTTTATACTGGTTTTCTTTCTAATAACTAGAAGGAAATATGCTTATCTTTAGTGTAAGGTATTATTTTCATAGCTAAAGTAATGATTAGAATTACAACTTTGCCAAACTGCAGCAGGTTATAGATTTTTCTGCTTTCATCCGTCTTATTTTACCTCACCCAACAAAAGCAGTTGCAGCAGATTTATGTAGCAACATTTGTATCACATACCTACAAGATGCCTTAAAAGATACCTGTTTCTCTTTTTCATTCGTGTCTTTCATTTTCCTCATAACTGGATCCTTTCTCTCAGGGGCGGGGCACTCCACTGTCCTGCAGGTTTTAGATGTCCCCCTGGGACGGCACACCTGAGGCTTGGAGTTCCCCACACCTGCTTTATCTTATTGATTATTTGTGCTAGCCTGTGGCTGGCTTCAAGCTCCAGCTTTAGTTTTAGCCACTTTGCATTTTTTAGCAATTAAAATAACCATGTTCAGCTGCATGAGTATAATATCTGATTAGGTTTGTTCTTATGAACATTATCACAGTGGTTCCCCTGCATTTTACTTTGGTCTGTGCATCTTCACTCACAGTGAAGAGCTTCCACACTAAGGACATATCAGTGCGTGCACGGCTATTTGCATGGGCTGCTGTGTGGGTGCTGTGCATGCATGAAATGGATGAGCTAATAATTGGACAAGCATGATACAAGCGAGCCGGTCACCAGCCGAGAACATCGTCCGGTTCTCATCCTCGGCAGTCAGTCGGTGCATTTTCAAATTAAATATATGTTAAGTAAATTCTGTCTTTCCTGTGACTCTGTGTGACGTTTTCATGTTTGTCTGTTCTCCCCTATGCAGCACACCAATGATGGAAACAGAAAATTTCACCATCTTCATCAAAAACAGCATCCGCTTCCCGACCTTCAACTACACCAAGTATCACACACCCTTATATGTTGACATTAAGGCTCGTCTGGAACATCTGTTTGTTTGTTTAACAAGGACAAATTATTCTGTTTTCACATTATTGCTCACTTTAATGAAGAAATGTTATATTCAGGCTACTGAGTTGTGAAGAGAACGCTTTATCCCCGATAACTGTCACTCTGAATGCACTGGCACTAACACTGGAGTTGACATTTGCAAAGCATTCAATGCAAAACACTGTCAGCTCTGCATTCAAGCCAAGGATGCAAAATGAATATGAATCAGTGTTGATATAACTGCACAGTACCGCCAATTTAAAGGGAAAATTAAGGACTGTGAATAGATGGAGAGATCAGTTTCACTGAGCAGGAAAGGGTTCTGCTGTTTTTGCAGGGATGAAACCCCAACAGGTGACATTAATTAGCTAGCATTAGCATCTGTGTAATTCACTGTTTCACTCATGCTTCAATGTAAAGTGTAATGTTAGCCAAGCACCAGACTGAGCAACGGCAGCCTGCTCTGACAGGATGAGACACACTGGCTAATTCAGTTGAAAGCTGTTATGTCGTTATCACAGAGAAGTGTGTGCTACAGGAGGAGTCTCCATCTTTTTGCATACTTGTCACGTCTCAGATCATCAGACACATTTTATATTAGCCAAAGATAACTTGTGTGAATACAAAATGAGGTTTTTAATGATTGTTTCTTTTATAAATGTAACAAAACCGTTCAAAACTGGCCTGTGTGGAGAAAATCGCCCACTAAACCTAATAACTGGTTTTGCTACGTTGGCAGCAAGACTTGGAATGAAGAGTTTGTGATAACTGGTCACACTAAAGCATCTCAATCTGGCAGAAGTCGGGAATTTGACTGGGTGTTCAGAGAATGACTTCCTGGTGTGTTTTGGATGTCCTGCTTGCACCGAGTGCACAGCTTGTTGGCTGAATAGTCTGCTTCAGGACTTTTTGGTAGTGACCAGACCATCACACCACCATCACCACTATGTTTGATGTGTATTTTACAAAATGCACATCATACCAAACCTTTAATGGGATGCAAACCTTCCAAAAGAAATACAATCTTTGCACCACCCCTTGAAAATTGCTTTGTAACCCTTTCCACACTGACAGATATCAATGACTTTGATTCTGAGCTGTTTCTTTAGGTACTGGCATGCTGCTGTTTGAGAACTCTTAGGCTACTTCACTTTGTCAGACAGGTAATCAGGTAATTTCTTGAATCAACAGTTCTGGCTTTAATCAGATTTGAGTCGAACAAAGTGAACTCTGCTTTCCAAAAGAAGCGGTTAACCACAGTAGTACATAATCGAACAACATTTATCCTCCGATTAATAAAATCATGACTTAAATAACACATTTTGTATTCAGTCAAGTTATGTTTGTCTAATATTACATTTTTTGATGATCCGAAACATGCAAGTGTGACAAATATGAAGCAACTTGAAAATAAGAAAGGGGGCAAATACTTTTTCATGTCACTGTATCTGTTCAGAGTTAAGCCACAATTATACTTTTGTAAAAGTCAATCTGAAAATGGCACAATTATAGTTCAGAGACGCTTTGGCATGTGGCCATTATGCACAGCTGTAGCATGTACTTTTTGGTGATCATTTGGTGACATTACTGAAGTCATTTGCAAACCACAACATGCAGTAATATTTTAGACATTTTCATTTAAGACAAAGGACTTTGTACCAGGCCAACTGAGAGGAAATGTACTTGTCCAAAAGGCAGGTGCCACAAAAGTTAGTGTCGAGCCCAGAAATGATTAAATCTTACTGTTAGAATGATTGTCATATTTAAGGCTGACATATTGATGTGTTTGTTGGCAGAGGGAACTTCCTTCCTAACATCACGAAAAAATATATCAGTGAGTGTAACTTTGACATGGTCAACAACACCTACTGCCCGATCTTCAGAGTGGGAGATGTCGTCCGCTACGCCCAGCAGAACTTCACTAATCTGGCAGAACATGTACAGACCAAGCCTGTGTGTGTGTGTGTGTGTGTGTGTGTGTGTGTGTG